CTTTCTGTAACACGCCTCCAGCTAGAAAAATCGGGGTGTGCCAGAGAGCCAAAAGGGCTTTGCGCTTTCCAAACCAATCAACGCAGAAAATCATCTGCATGCAGAGTTGGTCTATCGCACTGATTGTGAGGCACTGCACTGAGACTGACCCCGTTACAGTGACTTTAATCACATTGTGACAATACTCCTGACAAAGGTTGCCAAGAACATAATATGGTTTAGCTGACGGATGACAAATTAAATTGTAAGCGACACTGTTTGGTGATTCTGCATTAAGTTAAGACAGATGGGTAATATCCACCGCAATTACTGACTGCACTGAGAGCCGTCAAAGGTAGGAGAACAGTTTAATAGTTTTTGTGAAATAATAAGTCATTGTTATGCAGCCGGCTCCCTGTGGAGTCTCCATGGTTCAGGAGATGGATGCTGGAGTGGTTTCTTTCCATCTGATTTTTGTCACAAAATGTCTGAGACATATTTCCGGTGCACTTATGTTATGCCGATACTCATTTCACTTTTCTTTTTTTTTCTTGTCTTGCTTTATGAACTCAATTATCTTGACCAGAGACTAATGGGTTTAGAATTGGGGACCAAATGGTAATGACTGTGGCATTCTTCCAAGTTTCTCTGAGCCTCTGTGGATCTGCAGAGTGAGGCGGTTGATGGCCACCGAATATTGCAATCCATTTCTGTTTCTCTAGCTCTATATCTGAGTGAAGCCTGTTGGAAAGCAGCCACGGTAAAGGCCTGTGAAATCTTGACAGAGTGGTGCATGGAGGCGGGAAGGATCTCCTCTCCTTTGTTGTTGATTAATCTCAGGTCCCTCTAAGGCTACGTATGCCCATCCATCTGTGCCTCCTAAATTTTATTCTAAGTATCGTGGCAGCTTCTTTAGTAACGTCATCATCAATAATGGCTTACAGCATTTATGCGTCATCGTGCTCTGTGATCTGCATCCCCTAAACATTCTTCTCTGTGCATCAAGCTAGTGATACAAATAATGTTGCAGGAGTTGCTTATGACATTAAGAACAGTCACGCATGACCAAAGCAAAAATTATTTTAATCCAGGCAGAAAGCTGTTAGCACGTGAGGGCCAGCAGCTGTGCCCGTCACACTGGAAGAGATACAGTCCCAGAAGATGAAACACCACACCAGTCTCAGAATCAATTCTCATTACCATAGCCATAATCACGCAGATTGATTCCGCGGCACGAAATTATCATACCTGAGGAATGGCTCAATTTGTCCGGCACAAATTGATGACACAAGCGCAGGAGGAGAAGGTGGTGGAGGGGAGGGAAATAGGCGGCCTCACAGGTGGATCATGGTCCATAAGCGCTCAGAGCGCGGACATCAATAGGGGCTTGGGGGCTTGGCACTGTGTCCATAATGTGATGTGTACACAATCGATAGCAGCCCCAGAGCTGGGAGATGGGTCACTGGAGTGTCACAGGTTATTCCTCTTCCTCAGCTCTTTCTGGCTTCAGAGCACACGGTGGAGAGCTGGGAGGGGACGATGAGCAACCATGGGGCTGTCAGAATGTTTAGTGAGGCGCCGGTGCCCCTATTGACTGCTGCCTGTGGAAAGAGAGACGAAAGGCTGTTCCCAGAATGAGCAGTGGCAGAGATGACAGGCGGCCGAAGAAGAAACTCAAAAGATGCTCAGAGGAGATGCTCAAAAGGACTCTTAATGTTGACACTCTTGGGTCTTCTCTTTCAGATCAACACTCTTCTTTATCTAACGTTGTTAGCTGTGGAGTGGAAATATTACACTGGTCATTTCTTTATTTAAAAAATATATATTTTATGACGCGCTTAAGACTGATGAAGACGGTACTAAACGGAAGTCACCAGTCAACTGTATTAGTCTGAGCCATGTGATACTGAAATGTTCTCTCTCCCTCTTTGTGCATCTGTATTTTTTCTCACTGTGAAAGTCAAACTGATTCAGCATGTTGTACATCACCTAATCATTGATGACATTTCAATCCCCTCCAAGCCAATTAGGTCTCATGACTGACCTGTCCATGGCCTGACTGCAGCATTTTCCTCCTGGGCTCAAAGCCTCAGTGGCACACCATGATAGAAAGGATCATATAAGCCACAAAAAGTATTGCAATGTTAACCTGTTGATTATTCTTTCCTTTTTCCAAAGGCTTCTCTACAAGTTAAACATATTGAACAACAAACAGCATGGATTCCTTTCATAAAATCACAAGACTTATTTATAATCTGATCTTTTTTACTCTTTGAACATCTGTAAGGACAATAATGCCACAGATTAAAAAATAGTGTTAATTCTTGTATCTTCTGGGTCACCCTGTGGCCAAGCGGCTGTCTTTCTTTCAGTTATTTCCACCACACACACATTTGTTGCTATACTGGGTGCTGCAGCACATGCAAATCAGGGGGAATGGAGACTGAGTAATTGATCCTCTTAACTACTCCCACTCAATTACAGCACAGGTTAATGCAAGCCACCTCAGGACTGTCCATCCTCGTACTCAAATGGCACTTGTGATGTCCACTAGAATTGGGTGTGATGGATTTAGACAGCGAGGGAGAGGGTCATTGAATACATTACACAAACACCCTTTCATTCAGCCGTTCTGAGTATTTTGCATGTGCTCTCCATGTCTGCGTGGGCCCTCTCCAGGTTCTGCGGCTGCCTCCCACAAAAACATGCATGTTTGGGTTCATTGTTGATTCTAAATACTTCACAGGAGTGAGTGTAAGTGTGTGTGATTGTCCTTCTCTGTATGGCCATGTGATGGACTGGCACACTCCGGTCATAAATGGATTGTCGTCCAGTAGTGCCTACACCGCGCTTAAAACAATCCAGACTGTTTTCATGTATTGTTCCAAGATGGTGGAATGGCCTATCAAGCGCTACAAGAATAGCAGTGTCCCTGTCTATCTTCAGGAAACTCTTAAAAACCCACCTCTTCAACGAGCATCTCCTATCCTAACTCTCACCCTCAACTCTACTCCTCTTTCTGTACTTCCCTCTATCTCTTTGCTGTCACCACTGACTCTGACTAGGGATTTTCCTCTAGAGAGCCTATGTCAGATTGATGATAACTGTAACATTGTGTCTACTTTGTAAGTCGCTTTGGATAAAAGCGTCTGCTAAATGCATAAACATAAAATCAACATAAACAGCAATCACAGCTTTGTGAGACTCCTGCAACCCCCATCCCCCACAGCTGGACCAGGAAACAGAAGTCCAGCAAATGGAATTGATGGACATTTCCCACTCATAGGCTTTTAAACAGCTTGCAAGCTAAATAATTATATCATGCTCCTATCTACTCTTGTATCTCTTTTAGTAATACAGGCGACGGTTTGACAGCAGGATATGAGCCTTTAATGAGCTTGCCAAAAAGTTCAGGGGAACTGAGGCAATCCGCGTCCTTACAATGACTCCACAGTCTTTCAGCCCCGTGCCCAGGCTGCCTCAGTTGCCTCACTTAGCTGCTAATAGGTTTAACCTAATCACCACCAGCATTCATTTGGTGATAATACTTCCCGTGCTGAGCCATGACACCAAGCCCTCTATTTTGCTCTCTGATTGTATTTATTCCCCACATGTCACAGCCAAAGGAATCCTCTTTTATTTAAAGAGAATGCTCACAGCTTATCAAGCATCAGTCTGTATATCTTAAACGCTGAAAAATCCTTGAGCTTTATCTCCTTTATAACTGCTAATATAGGACCGAAGCTAAATTGCTGAATTCTCAAAGGATAGACAGTAAGTTTCTTCAGACTTTAAAGTGTAAATTTATGTAAGATCAGGGATGCTGTTTAGTCAATGTGGTTTCCGATTAGTATTCAGGATGCCTTGTTTTCCTGTCTTGACTGAGACTCTCCAATCTCTCTTCATTAGTATTTAATAGGTTTTATATTGCTCAGGTCACAGAGGACTTTGCACAAAAGAATGCTAATTTTTCCTCGCGTTGGATTTCAGTTAAAGGGAACGTTGGACGGGCATGTTTCACCTGCACGGCCGGGAACACTGAGTTCACCTGAGTTGGTCTATGAGGAGGGAAAAAAAAAAAAGACTAATCCCACAGATGAAATATTCAACTCGTCACATAACATGATGTGACATTCGAGCACAGTCCAGCCCTCACATTGCTCCCACGCTCATTTTATAAATAACAAGCCTCAGTCAGGACATCTTAGGCCAGATTTAATCGATCGAGGTCAATAAATCCCGGTCAAGATAAAGAGCTGCAGCTGAAGCACAATCTCGTGCAGTGCTGACTTCACAGGATTACGTCGGATGTTCTTAGCCCTCCCTCTTCCAGAACCGAGGCCAGAGTACAGGAGTGTTTCCGTTTCACAATTAACAGTAGTTTTCAAAGCCAATTTGAAGTCAATTTTCTTTAGAAACTCAAAGTGAGGTTATTCTTATGAGAAAGTTTAAAGCAGAATCCTTTTACCCTCCTCTGGTGTAAATTGAATTCGCTCTGTACAAAAACCCTCTTAAACAGATTTCTACCGTGTCTACCCCATATCCTACCTCCCTCACTATTCTAAATATTCCGTCTTTTCTCATGCAGTGCTGCTTTCATTCAAATCTTTAATGCCCTGGGAAATCCCACCTCTCCTGCTTCTTTACAACCTCTTTGTGTATAGGTGTGCATTACCCTGGCAGGAATCTTTATGAGCATAGTGCTCATTGAAATGGAAACCCAGTTTAACTCTCTTATAAAGGAAGACACTTCAGTAGATTGGATCATTCACTGTGTTCTTCCCACCTTTCAAGTTTTATTTATCAGAACAGCCCCCCTCTGATTATAAATGTATTCCTGACCTGTCACAAGCAACTGAGCCATAAAATGTTGATTCTACAAGACAATTAGCTGACTCCTTACAGTTCTTTATAAGCTCTCATTGTTTGTTCTTTATTAACTCTTTTTCTTTGTTACACAAGTATCAATTATTTCATGTGGAACTGACATTTGACTCCTTCTTTTGCTCTCTTTTCAGATTCTGGCCATCATATCGATATTGTTTATCGTCCTCTCCACCATCGCCTTGTCTCTCAACACCCTGCCAGAGCTGCAAGTCATAGATGAGTTTGGCCAGGCCAATGACAACCCGAAGCTGGCCCATGTGGAGGCCGTGTGTATTGCGTGGTTCACCATGGAGTACCTTCTTCGCTTCCTTTCCTCTCCTAATAAATGGAAGTTTTTTAAAGGGCCATTGAATGTTATTGACTTACTGGCTATTTTGCCCTACTACGTTACCATATTCCTAACAGAATCCAACAAGAGTGTGCTCCAGTTCCAAAATGTGCGTCGTGTGGTGCAGATATTCAGAATCATGAGAATATTAAGGATCCTGAAGCTGGCCAGACACTCCACGGGGCTCCAGTCTTTAGGATTTACTTTAAGAAGGAGCTACAATGAACTGGGCCTGCTTATATTATTCCTCGCCATGGGCATCATGATATTTTCCAGCTTGGTGTTCTTTGCTGAGAAAGATGAGGATGCCACCAAATTCACCAGTATCCCTGCTTCATTCTGGTGGGCCACCATTACAATGACTACGGTGGGTTACGGTGACATATACCCACAGACTTTACTGGGAAAGATTGTGGGTGGACTCTGCTGCATTGCAGGAGTGCTAGTCATAGCCCTACCAATCCCTATTATTGTCAACAACTTCTCTGAGTTCTATAAGGAGCAGAAGAGGCAGGAGAAAGCCATCAAGAGGAGGGAGGCTCTGGAAAGAGCCAAGAGGAATGGCAGCATAGTGTCAATGAACCTAAAAGATGCCTTCGCTCGAAGTATGGAGCTGATGGACGTGGTGGTTGAGAAAGGAGAGGACAAATGTTCCCAGGACAACCACCTGTCGCCAAGCCGTTTGGGCAGCTCATCCAGGCACTCCACCTCCGAAAGCAACCTGAGATCGCCAGATAAAAGAAACCCAGAGTTCCTGCCACAGAGCTCCCCACATCGTATCATCATCACCACCACTGGAAGTCCACAGCGGGGAAGCAGGACACCACAGCACCTTAATGTTCAAAGGCTGGAGGACATGTACAACCAGATGACCAAGTCACAGTCCTTCACCAATCTCAATACTACGAGCTCCATGAGCACGCTGAGCACAACCATGACTGCCCCAGGCACACCGAAGAAATCTTTGAGCCCCGACTCGACATTAAAAGAGGAGGTGAAACTGGAGATGAAGCAAGTTCCGCCATGTTCCGAAGACAACTTTGCCGGCTGTTCAGTGGGCTTCACGAAACAGGGCTCCAATTCAGTTAGGGAAGATGCCGGGACATGGCACATCAGACACCCCAGAGCCCCGCCTTTTCTAAATCTTAGCAAACTGAGGAACGATGACGACCAGAGGTCCCCTGAAAACAGAGAAGGCTTTTACGAATGTATCAACCCAGCTTATGGATCAGAAAGCTATCTCCAGGAAGGAGAGAGCTTTAACAGCGCTATAGAAAGTATTCAGAGCTCTCTAATCGGTAACAACCCTCTGAAAAGAGAAGAGTTGGATGTCAAAATTAACAAAACACCCACCGAAGGTCCTCTAACTCCACCTAGCACTACTTCTCCTGGAGACATCAGTTCCAGCATCATGGAAGATGAGTCTCCTGTGGGAGATTCGTCCCCACTCATTCCCAGGTCAGACGAGCCGCCTCCGGTCACTGTGGAGAACACCCTCTCCCCTAAGAGGCTGGTGGTAGACACCCCACCTGGAGATGAAGATCAGTCCACAGAGAGCCCCGAGGAGAAACACCTGATGGAGGAGGCGGGGGCTGCCGTGGCGCCTTCTTCACCCAAGACAGAAGCACAAAACTGCACACAGGGTGTGGTCGGGGCAGGGGAGGAGGTGAAGGCCGACGGCAATCCAAGCGGACACAAAGTAGAGAACCACATGTTTACAACTGATATCCACCTGATTCCTGGGGATGGCAGCCTCTCTCCAACCTGTGAAACCAGCATGTGAATATAAGGGAAGCTTTGAGTCACTAAAGACCTACTACAACCTCAGCCTGGCATGTTGGAGAGTAGGAAGAACAATCAAGGACGCAGTTGTAGTTGAAAGACATTCTTGCATGGCATGACAAGTCTCTTTTACTTGTGTTGTTGTGTATTGCTGAAAAAGAAACTGCAGTACTTTGAGCAGATTTGAGAGTGGCTATGGAGCAAACAGTGGGTTACAAAGAGGAAGAGGAGGCTCTGTAAAAATGGGAAAAGGCAATAGGAATCCATCGACTAACGTAGACACAGATTCTCCCAGTGTACATAATGACAGTCTCTTTTTCTAGCAAAAGACAGAAATGCACAGAGGGACTCATCTATTAAAAAAACTAAAAAAACAAAAGAAAAACAAAGCATGCATTTAAAAAAAGAAAATCGTCTGATATTTTACGGTGCTTAGTTTGCTGAAAGCGCTCCACTGTAAATACCAGGACACGTGAGGCAGTGACAATGCACAGATGGAGAAGAAAGACTGAAGGTACTAATAGTTTTAATGTGAAAAAGCAAGGGGTGTGGGTTTGAATCAACAGCCCTCAAACTGGGCGTTGCATCGTAGCGACCTATAAAAAAAAAAAGAAAACATATCATCACCTTTTGTGGAAATGCAAAGTGTTCCCATGATGACCTGTTATGGTTTTCTTTGTTTTTCTTTGTCTTTTTTTTTCCTTTGTTTTTTTTGTTGTTGTTTGTTTGTTGTTGTATGAAATGGTGTGCGAAACTACAACGCTGACATCGTTGCTTTGGGTTTTCATAGCAGCTGATCTGATATCCTCCTAACAGAAAACAGCTCTGGTCCTGCAAATGCGTCGCAGTAGTGTAAACACTAGCTATCAGATATTATGGCTACAGAAAATATTTATCATACAATCTTGGATGTAAGTACCAGATTTGATATCCCTTTTTCAGCCGTTTGATTCCATCCGAATTACAGCAAAGAATCTTATTTAATCTCTCTGACATCAGATATATACTTCTAGTCATAGTTTGAAGAACAGGATGTTAAATAAGTAAGCTTATATTGGCTCTAGGAAAATTAGCGTAGGTAACTGAGATTCCACTCAGCATTAGTTCAGCACACTACATCTGGTCCACACGACAAGATTAAATGACCACATCCCTCCCGATATCAATGGACCAAATCGAACACACTTACAAGCTTTCATCTATCTCAGCTGCATCATAACATATATGGTGATGACATTTATTATGACTATACCTATTCTGTTGGTTCCTTATGGGTTGTTTACTTGCATCGTGTTGATCTTCTGCGCCCTGATGTCATTTGTTCCATACTACTGCAAATATACCCCATCCTGCTGAAAAGTTTAGGGCATCTTTTGTTTCCTCTCACATATCTGTGGTGTCTTGGACTGTAATTTATAGTGTGTCATTGTGAAAGAAACTGTGTTAAGTTTAACTTAAATCCAAAGGACTTTCTATTTTTTCTCTTTTGATTTTTTTTTTTTTTTTCCGTATGTTTTTGTCCGGTCTTCTCTCTTCTCGCTGTTGTTTTACACTGACTGAAAATACCTGTTGTATGTTGCCTTTGATTCCAATTTCTCGCTGGAATATTCGTTCGTTGACTCGGCATGCGCAGCTCTCGTCTGAGTGCAGTTGGAAGGCGTTTCCTGAGAGCCGCACAACACCGAACGGCAATAACAGGAAGAAGATTGGTCAATTTTTCTTTGCCGTTTTTTTTTTCTTATATTTATCATATCTGTCAGTTAGTTTGTTTGTTTTTCACAGAGAGGTGTGGAATGTGCAATACTGCATACAGCAATCTATGCAGGCCAAGAAATGTGGCACTTTATTTTATGTCTATGGGAATTTGTAAGTGTACAGGCAGAAACTACTTGTATTTTTCAGATGTTATATCTTTAATATGAGGTAAACCAGAGTCTCACAAACAATGCAAATGAGAATTTGACTTTTAATTTTTCTTACTATCTGGCTGGCACCTTAATGCCAGGTATGAATGAACCTCAAATTTGATTATCTTTGAAAATAGGGATCCAAATTGACCACCAGGGCCTTTTATATTGCTGTTAGGTTTACATCAAATCTAGCAAATGTCTGTGGAAGCTATTAATGCGATCTAATTTTGATGGCCACAAACAAAGGATTTTATGTTTTTTGTGAATTAATGCTGAGATTGATTCTATTTTTTCTAAACCAAAATGGAGCACGACCACAATTTCCTGCCATACGGTGGTTGAAATGATGCGTGCCTTTTCATAAAACTGCTGTTTATGAGAAGGTAGCAAGTCATTTTGCTTTGTTCATATAGCACTGTACAGAAAATTCTAATTTTATAGGAGAAATCAGGTCTTTATGTAATAGATACAAGTAATGTTATTGAGTTCTCAGGTTTTCTATGACTCTCTGATGTTCTCATTGAATAGATTTATCTGTTTTTTTTTCTTTAACAGCAAACATAAACTGGCTGCTTCTGTAATTTTTTTGAAAGGTGTTGTCAAATCCACATTAACGTTTCAGCTCTTGGACCAAGGAGCCGGAACACTGATCCTTCCTCCTGGGTAAATCTGTGTACCACGTTCAGTATCCACCCCATGAGTCTTTAGTGAGGCAGGAAGGAGTACAAACCGAGGGAAAGGCATTTTTAGGGCCTCAACGCCAATGCATGCCCTCAGGAACGCTGATCAGACAAGGCTCAGATAAGAAAAGAAACCGTGTCCTCCCAAGTGATTACATTGCATCAGTGAGAAGTTGTGGTCCATATTTTCTCTTTTCTGTGTACATACTGTTTGCCCAAAGTAGCATAATCTGACTCAGCATTCAGAGATTCACGTGAGACCTCATGGACTTGTCTTTGTGAAATGGCCGATCCCTCTTCGGAAACTGAGATTCTTTTGGACTCGGGGGTCAGTGGTGGTTGTTGTTGTTTCTAATTTCTTTTTTTTCCCCTTATTCTTTCTTAATTAAGAGAGGTTACTTTTTTTCTGTACCTGTACATTCAGTTTTGGTTTTCTCCTTCATCCTTTGTTTGTAGTAATCATATCCTCGTGTTAGCGTGGAGTTATCCTTCATTTTGACTGATAGGCTAGAGAAACAAGGGAGTCAGAGTGATCAGCTATATCCCGTTGGGATAGAGTTTGTTCGGGAAGTCGTGTCGCGAGCTGACAGCTAAAGGACCGTGCTTTGTCTTACTGTCTCATAATGGCATATTCATCTGTGACACTGTACAGAGTGGAAATGTTGTTTCTTTATTTTCTCTGAGAGAACGTATATTGTCCGTGTCGCTCATTTGTGCTCCCCAAACCTTTCTCCCTGAAAAGCGTAAAGCCACATTGTTTGTTCCAATGTCTCTGTATACTCTGCCTGTTACCTCTGATTTTGGATTTTCTTCTTTCTTTGCTCAGCTTTGAGACATTATCATTAGACACGTTCTGAGCTACAGACTGTTTCTGTACAAAGCGACGTCTTTGTATGCATGTAGTCGTCCAAGAAATTATGTGACCACAGAACACGTTATGGCACACGTCTGTCAACATTTCTGTCCAGCATTGTTCCCCATAACATCTATTAGCATTATGCAGAATAACAAATAAATGTATATATAAGTCACATGTTCATGTCTGCTTATTTCTACTCCATATATGAGCTGTTGTTTGTAGGTCACACATTTGCATTTTGTGGCTCTTCGCTTGTTAAGTATCATAATGAGTAGGATAGATATGAATTCATAAATAATTTCTACTTCCAGCACTTGACACTTCGAGGAAGGGATCTTATATGGCTCTTTCCTCTACATCTAACAGAGCAGTACTAATGGGGTCACATTTTGAAAACTGCTGTTGAGGAGACAATGGTTAAATTGAACTTTAAGGAGAAAAAACTTGCCAAAACAAACTATAAAAAAAATAAAGTAATGTAATGTAAAAAATCCAATTTAGCTTCACTGTAATGTGTTCATTTTCTCAAGTTTGTAAAAATAGAAATGTTGTTTATCCCTTGTGGAATTGCCAATTGGCAACACTGATGATGATATCAAAGATATTCCGAAACTATATTTATATAACTTTTGATACAGTGGAAATCTTCTTTTTAGTAAGACATTTCGATTTAGCTTATAGCAATTTAAGATTGGATTTGATTTTTTTTTTACATAAAACATAAATTCACAATTGAATTATGTAAGTATATATGAAAAATAAAATATTTGAATATTTAATCATATATAAAAAAACATATAAAACCAGTGCATTAAAAACATGGGAAAAACCATAAAAGTGCATTAGAACGTATTTTATCATCGTTAAATGGAAAGTTGACATTCCTCCGGATCGACAGAGGGCGCTGTTGTCTTCTAAATCAAGCGGAACATGGAGGACCGAAACCAAAGACGCGCGTAAAGTGAACAGCGAAGAAGACGTTGCTTTGAAAAGAAGCAAATAATGGACCGCGGAAATAACGAATCCTCTTCAGATGCAGAGTCTACAAATAAAAGTGTCAATTTTTCCCACGTTAACACAGTTGCTACGGGATGGATGTTGGACTTCATGTTTGTAGGTTTGTGTCGGCGTTTCAGAGACGGAAAACTGGAAGAATTCAACGAGACACTGAAAATCTTTGAGGGTTTGTATTTCAACTAGTTAGCAAGTCGTGAGCCTGCCATAGTTAACTAATGCACACATTTTCGAAAGTATAATATATGCTTTATCATTACCGTAATATGTAATTTTCATCCCTATGAACTTTTACATTAAGTTTCATTTGTATTGATAGATACAATGACCCTGATATATCATGGATAAGTGGTGTCAGTGAAGTGGGACTTATTATAAATGTATAATCATATTTCGAAGGCCAGCGGAGTTAACATGGGTTTGATACGTATTATCAAGTATTATGTACCATACCGAGTAATTAAGTTATTTTAGTTATAACCCATAGATTTCAAACACAACTGTTACTTTTAGCTCGTTCAAGTTTCCTGTGCTCCTCTCAAACTTGTCCGAGTAGCTACTACAACTGAAACAAACAGTTCCTAAAGAAGACGTCATTAATAATGTACATCCAATGATCTGGTTAATTTCTTTTAGTAAAGTTTCTCGATCTGCGATGTGGGTTGTCTGGCAAAGTTTAGAAAGAGCAAGTATATACAAATAATATAATTTTATTTGCATCACAGTTCGAATAAAAATAGTGTTTTATTTTTTATTTTTTTCTTTACCAACAAACAAGTTAAAAGTGATTGGAACTTTTCAATGCCTTTTTTTTTTTTTACACAAATATCACTGGAAATTTGACTTGATCTGCATTAGGTATTTTTGCTTTTGTGGAGCAAACATGTCCCCTCAGTTTGATTTTCATGCCAGTTTGTTAGTTAGGCCTTGAAAGCTTACTCAGCGCAGTCAGGTTAATGGTCAGACTGGAAGCAGTTAGAAATATACTTTGTGTTTATAGCTTCATATTGCAAGCGAGCTTAGATTCTAAGCAAATATTAACTGATTAAGGATGTCTAACTGTTAATAGATGGCTTTCTAACAAATAAATAAATACAGACCTCACAGTTCTAATATTCTTTTTTGCTCTTTCTCAGCCATTTCTCAGAGTAAATCACTTAAAAGAAACTGTCACAAAGAAAAGATTTTGCTGTGTGCCTTCCTGGCGAGAGTCATGCATGGAAAGCAGCTTGGTGAGTTGTTCCTCTTATTATGTCTTCCCACAGAAAACTGATCAATTGGAAAGAAAAGAAAAAGAAAACTTGAGTTTTAATTCTAAAGATGGATGATATTCTGGCTGTTAATATGATTCCAAATAACAAAAACGGTGATGTCCTGCTTATCTCTAGATGTTGTGTTTGAAGAAGATGAGTCTGTTATGCCTCTCATGTCTGCTGCCAAGATATGGTCCAAACTAAAGCAAACTGTGGCCGATGAAACTCTATTCAAAAAGATCGCCGTGCTTCTGCTTGTCCAGGTAAATATACTTGTTACTGTCTCTCAATGTCTCCTGTATGGACAGAATGACTTCCGATGTCTTTGTGTTCACGAGTAGTCAGTGGCATTGTGTTTGGAAAAAGGTCAGAGATCCTCAGCCTCCTCCACACTCCAGTGGTTCGAGAAGCACCAAGAGTTCCCACAAGTATGTTTTCTCATCTCCTTTTTGCAGGCATGCATACCATTTTCATACGTCAAGTTATGTCATTTTAAGGTTGTTTTTTTCCCCTAACTTTCCTGCCATAGAAAATAAGAGTTAAGCTGTCAGCTGTTGTGGCCCAGATGGAAACGTACGACCCGTTCCTCACGAGCTACAGCTTCCAGCACCTGCAGGAGACAATCCAATCGTTTTTGGATTCCTACTTGGAGGAGAATCCCTCTGACTATCTTCTCAAGGTGCCAAACCTAAGCAATTTAAAGGTCAACATCATTTGTGAGAATGACCATAAGTCTTTCAGGGAAGCACACACTACTTCAGAAATGATATAGGAACCTCGATTATTCATTTCTTTGAGCTTAAAACATAACTGCCAACACTTTGAAATTATCTTAATGTCAGACGGAGCAGGATGGGATATTAAAAACACTAATGAAACTGGGAGGTTTTAATTGTTTGAACATTATTTTATCCACTAAAATGGTTATTATTCCTTCGTATTTGCATATTTTGATGCTGTTGTGCTGTGCTAAACCAAAGCTCTGCTTCCACCTCGAGGTGCCGATGTGACTTAATCACTCACTATTAACTGACAATTTGTCGTCAAATTAGTCGGAAGGGCAAACTGGTACATTCAGCTGAGTCGCTCCCAGGAGGTTTAATGGACTCGTTTACTCGAGAATCTCTCATGAGTGATTAACACAAAAAGCTGGTGACCTCTACAAGGTTGGACTTGGAAGGGTAGCTTAATGGGCTCATTAGCTCAGCTCACAGTGTTAATAATGACCCCAGACGGCTAGTTACACAATGAAAGTATGAAAAGGCAACAATTTTCTACGGTTCAGGAACAAAGTTTATATTAATATTTGACAATATGGATATCAACAAAGGAGATTCCCTGTCAGAATGAGGAGATGCAATCCCAAAGGGTCCAGATTTTAAGCCGTCACGCTCGCCTGCACTTCAGAGCGTCACGTAGAAACGGAGAAAGCTATAATGGGCTAGCTAGCTGTTAGGCATGGCAGTGGTAGAATTATAATCTGGGGCTGTTTTAAACTATGAAGAAGGGTTACTTTTTGAATAGGATTGATTATTCATATCCACAGAGTGTGTGTACCCGTCTGTCTGTTTTATGCGTTTGATTGAAGGAAGCCTTTTTCATCAGGTGGCTACAAAGGTGGTCCAGTCCCAAGACACAGAGGATTTAGAGGAAGTGACATCACTGGACAGCTCTGTGCCAAAGACGCCCGATAAATCGCAACAGAAGAAAAGAAAGTAAGAAAAAAGGTGCACACACACACAGATCTGTCATTCACTCCACATGGAACTATCTATTTCTACTCAGACTGGCTTTCTAGCTTTAAAAAAAAGGGTGCTGTGTTTTTTTTTAACAGAAATATATGGGTAATTTTAAAAGTTCAGAAGACACTTGACATGTTGCATGTAGGTTGATTAATGATAATTTTTCTACACTTTGACAGAATGAAGCGGAAATTACTTTCTACTCAAATGACTGACGTGTGGAGACCTGATTCTGCCAAGAAGCCTCGTGTGTCTTTAACGCGACTGTCCATAACTGGTATGCCCTCATTATCAGTTACTTCTTTATCTGTGGTTACCTAGTTATAAATCTGCAAGAATACTTTGTTTTGTTTTTTTTGTTTTTTTTAGAAAAACAGGACAGGTTTATGTATATGAACAGAAAATACTTGACCATTTAAAATCTTCCATCAGATCTTTCAAAGATCCCCTCTGGGAAGTCTCCGGAAACCTCCCCTGTTCACAAGACAAGTAAACCAAAGACAAGTATACCGAAAAAGGTACATTGGCCCTAACAGGACGTCTTTGATGTGATTGGCTCATTTTAAATTGAATCCTTCTTCTCCATCTGGTCCAAACCTGAAAGTGCAGGAACATGGGGCTTATGCTTTGTGATTTAATTTAATTTAATTTTTTTATAGAAATGGACGTTCCATCTGGACAAGTATCTCAAGCAGGGTGTTAAAGTACACGGCCAGGGGAAGTGGGCTCGCATCCTAATGGACTATGACTTTGAAGGGCGCACTGCAGTCATGCTGAAAGACCGCTGGAGGGTGTTGGTGAGGACACACCAAGTCTCCTGACTCCAAGGAGGCCTCCCAAGCACAATGTAGCTCTGCCGTTTGCATGTAAAGGAAGTGTAGTGTTGTTCAGTGACCACATTTTTATTGGCACCATGTTTGCCCCCGTTTTTATTTCCATATAAATAAGTCCCCTTTTTTAATTCCAAATGAATGTGTCCTACCAGCAGAGGGCGACCAACTCTGAACCGTTCGAGCAGCAACGCAGCATTTCAAACGTGAGCTCTTGTTTTTAGTTGATCATTTTTAATTGAACAAAATGTGGAAATGTGATTTTAATAATTAATACATGAAATTTTCTTCCAACCAAAATGTGCAACGTATGACATGGATGTATTTTGGCATCAGATCCCAGGGTAATGTGTAGATTATTTTAGCGTCCGTCTTCTTCTTTGCTTGTAAATCCTTGCGGCTGATATGAACTCCTGATGAACAGGGCTTTTTACTTATTTTTTTTCAAATTGCAACCGAGTCTTTCTGAGGATCAGATGAAGATAAAGCTGTGCTGTGGTGGGCAGGTGCACCGCTGAGTTTTCTGGACCTTCTTCCACGTTCCGCTGCACTGAGGATTCCCCACGGCCTGCCAGCCCAGCACAGCGTCCCTGCAACGCAGTGACACCCAGTTGAGTGGAGACCACTCTATGTACAGTTTTCTGGAGTGACTGTCTTCTAGTTGTTGTTGTTTTTTATACAAAAAAAGATTGCTTTGCTTGTGGCAAAATAATAACTCTTCTGTTAAAGAGATGTGTATTTCTGTGTACAAAAGTTTCATTAAAGTGTGAAAAGTAGGAAAAAAAGTAATACTATGATTTTTTTCGTCTTTTTACGACAGATATATGATTAATATAATCTAGACTTGAGTTTTACCAATGCTTATCAAAATGTTGGGTTACCACTGTCACATCCCTAGAAGTTGACCTGTAGGAACTGAAAATGTCCACAGGTGAGGAAAAGGCCTCTTCCATAGCTTAGTCTGACCACAAAATGATGTTGGAGTCATTACTCTAGAGGTTCTCTTCCCCCAGTCATCCCACTAACCTATTGTTTCATACCCAATAATTATATGCCAACTAAAGTTGCTGTCACCAAGTTTGATATAAACTAAAATTGCTCATGATTTGACATTTTGGTTAATTAGTTTGAGTCACTGCAATCTGTTTAAAAACGTGACTTTTTAAGTTTTCCAAAGATCTTCTCAATGAAAAACACATGTAAGAGTTAAGAACTTCATACTTGTCTGATTCCTGGCCGTCTCCTTGGCAGCTGCCACTATTGTTTCGCAAGGCAGGGGGTTCACACGCCACACACACTTTGAACCCTTCAGTTATGTAGCGCATCCAGAGTGTGTGTGGCCGGTTCTCCACTGTGCAGTGTGGTGTTCGGGATTCCAGTTCGAATTCCATGCAGAATCTAGTTGGAAATGGCAAAATCATAGAAGTCACACAGAGAATACCGTAACATTTGGAGCTATTACGAAAAACAACTAGAACTGCCACGGGGGGGCGGGATCATCAACCGACTTTAACCTTCCTAATAATTCACTCCCCCCCACAATGGACACATTTCTTTAGAATAGAATCTGCAGTAACTGTGTAGAGATGTACCTCTGAGCTGCTCGCTAAACCTCTCCCGTACCCAGCCAGATCCTTTGTGTTTGTGCTTTTCACATGACAGTCCTGAGTATTTCATTTCAAAGGACTGCGTCTTGCCTTTCAGGTTTGCCACATTTGAAGGCCTGTACAGACAGCCAGGTGGGCAGACAGTGCTATCCCGCTGTGTAAAAGGTTGGCCTGTGCAACCTGAAAAGAATGAGCTTTACCTCCCCTCCCTGACGGCTTTCTTTTTTATTTTTCCATCCCCTGAATTCAAGCACCTGAGGACATTTGCAGTTTGAGATGAAAGAGGGAGGCTTCAGAAGAGGACGATATGAAACCTACCCAGGGTCCAGGGGGTTTCCATGGCTGTCCTGCTTCGGCCTTCCTTTGCCAAACTCCATGCTGGTGATGAACGCAGGACCTTATCATTTAAAGCAATCCGTTAGTTTCGGAAGAAAGACGGTTTTCAGGGTGTCAGAATGTTTAGGGGTAAATCCTTGACCCCGATTGGGACTGGGGCGGATGATACCTGAGCTGTGTCCGCAGGGCCTGCCCTGGTGGTCCCTGTACTCCCGGCAGCCGGCCTGCTCCTGCCGGCCGGGGCAGGGCTCGCCGCTGTTGCCGGGCTGCCGCTCTACCTGGCGAACGCGGACCCTCAGAGAGGGCCGACAGGGCCTGGCACAGCCGCTCCACACGCTCCAGCCGCCCATAGCACAGTCCTGGGCTGAATTCAGCATTCAAGAGAGGTCAGTACAAGTTACAGTGTTGCAATTAACAGCAAGCGATGGGCCTTGAACTTTACTTGTCGGCCGCATCATTATGTGATTTAAGTGAAAGATAAATTTCCTGGAAACAACTCTGAAACAAATCAGGCATTGATTGTAATTTTGCGGCGTTAGGGTTTCCTGCTCCACTACAAGTGGTTTGAGAGCATGCCAAAGGGAGCAGCCCACACAGCGACCCAGTCCGGTGAGTCTTTCCTCCCAGTTGCTCTCTGTGCTTAGTGATGAAGCTTTGATGTGCTGAGGGTGTAGATTTGGTGGCCGCCGGCCTCCAACGCGCAGTAAGTATGCTGTGCTGCTTTGACGGGAACTGTAATTGCTACCACTGATTGACAGAATCGCATTCTTCAAATATTTGTGCTAATTCCATTATGTGGGCCAGAGCACCGAAATGGGGTTAGAGACGGAGCTCGGCTGGGCTGTTTGGTGAGTGAGTCCTTACCACTTTGGGATGGAGAAAAATAAGACGAAGAGGGCAGAATGAAGCGTACGTAGCGGACCGAGGATAAATATCCAATTTTGCGTGCATGGTGAAATGTGGTATGCATCCAATCCCTTCAGCTGTGTAATTAAAGGTGCTGTGTGATAAGCTGTCCCAGCGATGGCTAGAAACTGATAAGGTTTCCTTTCAAGCTTTCTCTATCTGTTCAGAGATACACCCAGAGGATTGTGTGTCTTCATACAGGAGTTCATACTATCTGAGAGTGGAGTCATAAAGTGATAGAGTGCGAAACAGTAGGGCCTCTCTGAGACTGGTCCCCTGGTGTTGGATCGGTATTTTTCTTTACGTTTAACACTCACCCGGGCACTCTGTGAAGTAGTCAAAGCAGCAGTCTTTGGTTTTGACGCAGCCCTCATCGCAGTAGCACGTCCCGTACACGCGGTCCATCCTCCAGTCGGTGGCCGAGCAGCTCAGGTCTCGGCCCCGGCAGCATTTCCCCGCGCACCCCCCCGCCACCAGCTGCCTACCTCCCAGAGAGGCCACCACCAGCAACCAGCAGGCAAGCTCCACCGAGGATCCCATCCTAAGGGGGTGGACGGTTGGGAGGTCAGCAGATGACCCCTGAAACGCTGCTCTAAATTCTTGGTCGCCCCACTATGTGATTCACCACAGTCTCTTCTCCTTTAGTCAGGTTTACTCCTACTCTTCTTCCTTCATGATGGTGAGAGCGAGCAGTTGCAGTAGGAGCCCATCCAGAGCTGAGCCCTGCACACAGCTCAAAACGACCTGCACGGATCAGGCTTCCATGTCTAATGTTGTGGGCTTTTCCCTCTCCTCAGACCTGGAGTCTGGCTCCCTGTTGCCAGCGGAGCGCCTCCCTCCTGTCGCTCTCACTGTGGACGGAGGCAGCAGGACGAGGGAGGGGCGGGCCACTGTTGTGTGTTGTGAGCTTTCCCTCCTCGCTCCGTTCTGTCTGACTGTCGCACCTGACTTCTTTTTATTTCTGTGTTTTTATTCCTCCATCTCTTCCCTTCAGAATGACCGGGACCCTGATGCCCGTCTGGCCCGGCGGCTAACTGCCACCCCGAATCTCGGAGTCCCAGAAAGGAAGAGAGGAATGTGAGCATTTTGGCAGGCCTCCAAACAATTGTGCCACAGGGCCCGCTGAGAACCCACCAGCCACGATTTAGTTCTCACCCCTTGGCCTCATTCAGCTCATATTTTAGAATTATTGAATAAAAACACCGGGAACGTTTTTCTTTTAACCAGTTTTGTCAGTTCTACATACTTAAATGAAACAAAATAATCTATGTCACGTGGTTACTTTTAGGCCAGCACTTAATCAGCTTAGCTAAGCATGAACATAACAATTACGCAGAAAAAAATAATCTCTGTGCAAAGGTATAAACTTTACAACTACTACTTTTTAAGTTGACAAGTTAAAAGGAAGCTGTTTAATGTAAGGGAACATAAAAAAGTACAAATTTGAAAATTATGGGAAGAAAAGTAAAGTGAACTACCGGTTGAGAGAGCCATTTAGGGACAAAGTCCATCCTTATTCAAGGGAAAACCTCTAAAGCTGTCGTCCATATCAACAATTATTGGCAAATTATTTCTACGATTTATTAAATAAGAGCGTACTCACATACTGTATGCATAAGCACAAGCAAAACCAATATTTTACACTGAAGGACGGAGGGAGTCTCACTGTCTGAAGATGTGGACTCTAAAACAGGCCAGTTCATATTGAAAGAGTCATTTGTTCATCTCATGGAAAATAATACATCTGCAGGGAGGATTTGTAAGGAATGAGCAATTCTGTGCCTTTTACCGTAAAAGGTAGTAATAATCTAAATACTTAGGTATCTAAAATTAGTTTGAAACAGAGGAGGGGGTTTCCTTTGGTCCTTTGATTCTTATTGCTGCGGGGCGGCTAGGTCAAGTGTCAGTAATAGCCTTCATCTTCATCATTACTACACACACATCCAGACATGTGTGCGGGAATCACTGAGCAGGTTCAACTCAAAGACTTTTAGTCCTTTGAAGTGCACACATGTCCGGGATGGTTAGTATGTGTCAGCCCATTCTCCACCGTGTGATACACATGTTTCAGTACGGGCGGGATCTGCCCACCGGTGCACGGTGTACAGCCGTGCACGTTTGCTGTCTCCAGCACGGTGGAAGTGCACATCAAAGGGTGTGTGTTTTACTTCTGACAGACTCCAAACCTGGACCTCCTGCCCTCAGTGTGCACCCGTCAGACACAATCAGCCTTCCCATTATAACACACCCCGCATGGCGTCTTCCTCATGTGAGCCAGTGTGTGTGTGTGTGTGTGTGGTGGGGGGGCCCTGTTATGATGCCTCACAGATGATGCCTGTGATTAGTTATTGTGCACATTTGTGGCTAAAAAATCCTACTCAGACCAATCCGGTACACGCACATTTTGAATAGTGTGTTGTGTTGAGGAGCAGACGTGGGAAGAGACAAAGAGAGACTGATTGGATTTAGCTCGGAATGAACATTACTCCACTTTGTACTCCACTTTGTTCTCGGGATTTCAACGAGATGGCAGGTGACCTGAAACTCAGTCGCGCCTAAGTGGGGAATGCAAACTGTAGCTGTCACCGTGGCAACACCTAACCTGGGTTGCTATGGTTTCAAAACACTTGTTTACATATTTAAGGACTCGCTTTATAACTTCACTCTTTTTTTTTTTACCTAACACAAGATCTGGCTCTTTTGTGAGATCAAAACAGAATATTCCAACTAAAGAAGAGGTCAGATAAATGAGTTTGATGTGGTTGTTTTCTGATTAGTACCATTATGAATGAAAGCCTTTGTCCATTATCCTTTGAACCCTGAGTAGCTGTTTCCTGTATGAACATTTGTGTGTGTTTGGGGCGCTTTAAGTGCGTGTGAGGGATTTACACACAACTCAGGCTCAGTAACTCTGTGTAACTGGGATTTGTTTGTGCACTGGCACTATACTTTATTGTTCCCAAATGATGTTCCTGTCTGTGTTAGCTGCATGAGTCACTGTTTGATGAGTTGAGAGGTGGGGTGTTTGACTTGGCTTGAGTCACCAAAGCAAAGTTTACAGGATGTTGTACAGATAAGGGAAGCTGAACAGGTGAATCCATGAGATAAAGGCATAAATGCTTAGATTGCTACAAAGTATTCATCAATACTTTTGTCTTTAAAAAAAGTATTTAAAGCCCCAAACATTGGAAATCTGGGACACATTTTAAAACAAAAATGCCAGTAAACAGCAAGGTCAATTTTGCAACAATTATGTCTGGTGAAATTACTTTTAAAAACAAAAAGTTTGGATGGGAGTGATTTTAGACTAGTTATGAAACACTCACTGTTAACAAGTGACTATGATCAGAATTTTCTACAAAAGAAGTGTCCACAAAAAGGTTGAGTTTTCATTTGACGGTTTGAAAACAATGCTCCTCAAAGACACTTTGGAAGGTGTTTCCATCCTTCTCCCTCAACAGTGCAGAATTACATTAAACTATTCTAGAATCTGGGGCACGTTCAGCACAATTGCACAAGCTGAAAATTGACAATCCCTCTGACAGCGTTGTATCAAGAGGTGCCACACACCATTAGCTGATGTAACCACATCGGAGAGGGATTACTGTGGGAAACTTTTGTTAAACTCTATAGTGTGGAAATGCATTCACTTAAAAAGACGAGAGGAAAAAAAAACATTTGGAGGGTTAGTAATCATTTCTTTGGGGTCTGATGTATCATGTTGAAAGAAATGTACCTGAGGTGCTCGTGATCGCCATCGAAAAGGACCAAGCAGACCATTATCAGTCCAAAAGTCAGGTTCCGTGATGAGATGATGATACTAAAAAGTGTGTTTCAGAACAATATGCGCCACCTTCAGTCGTTTTTAGAGACTTCCATGCATTTTTCAGCAAGAAGCTCCATTATCACATTTTTCACACATTTCTAGGTTTTATGTTGTGTGTAAGGAAATAACATTCAATGTCATCCCCCCCACCTCTACTTTCTCAAGTATTCAGATTCTTTCATGATGTGGTTGTGTAACTACATCAGGGTTCTCCAGTAGTCTGGGTCATCACATCCTGTTTGGAGCAGCGTGTTACGCTAAACCATCCAGTACATGTAATGCTGCTCCATTAATTACAGGTCATTACTCCTTATGGATGACAGCAAACCTCTGTGGGACGGAGGCAGCGGGGGGGGGGCGAGGACACAGGATGCAGCTCTGCTGGCTGGCTCACTCTGGAGCAGAGCCAATACAATGCCAACAAAGAGCGTGATGGTGATGAAGGTAATACCGTCACTGATCACTGTCCAATCATCAGTCCCCTCCTGTGGCAGACGGCTCCATATGTATGCAAATGAATGCGGACGGCAGGTTGGGCTGGTAGATGAGGCGAGATGTGTGGGCGGGGAGCCGGACTGACCCCTGAAACTTTAGGTAATGGTGATGGTCGTGGGAGACAGGGTGCATCCATCACGGCAAATTTCATAAATCATATCATGAAATGTCAAAGAGCAGAAGGCAGGTTAGGCCCTTGGACTGCTGTGTGTGCGTGTGTGTGTGCGCACTCCCAAGGGCAAGTATACAAATATAGCAAGAAGCAAAAGTTCTATGGGGGGGGCGGGTAGGGAATTGGTTTTTTTTCTTGTTCTTATTTGGCAAACGCCCCCTTACTTATATTTTTCCAGTAATAGATTATTTCCAAATACAAAAGATAGCTTTGTTTAAAGCATGTCGACGTTGATATTGATGAGTAAGGGTACTAATGAGTATCTGTCACCCAATGAGTTCTGATGCAACACATTTGGCATTGTCAGAGCTATTGTGTTGGCAAAAGACAAAAATGTGACCTCTGTGTGCTCTTGCTGAAAACACACACAGTTCCTCTTTGTACACGCTGCTTGTTTGTGCTTGCATTTGTTTTTGATCACTGTGTAACTATCATTTGGCATCTTTCTCTTTCTCGGAGCCCACCCTGGTTTCACAACATAGAGGGCAGAAAGTATCACACAGAGAAAATGGGTCTGTGTAAGGAAAGGTCAGAGGGCTTTGAAAACACAGCATACTCTGGCATAGATATAACATCTCCCACATTTTCATTTTCAGATAAGTTAGGATTTATGTTTTACCTTTTTGCTTCCTCACAAGCCCAAAGCATAGTCAATCCACTTCAGTAGAGGTGGATTTTCATAAGAAAATCTTAAACTTTAAATATATTATGGTAAAAATCACACTGATTAAGAATTGATTTCCCTTTCTACCATTTCTTGATTTGGAGCCTCTGTCTGTGTTCTAACCTGTGAGGCTTTGTCCCAAGACCTACGCTTGCTTCATTGTTTCTCTCTCTCTCATACTGACCCAAACTCATTTAGGGCAGGTTTGATTTGAAGTGTTGGCAAAGTTAGGATTTGGCAGACAGGCCGCATTCTCCGATCCCTGCTGATAGGGTCCACCAGCATACCATCAAGTCAGGTGAAACAGTAACACAACCATGCTTTTATTAACAGCTCTGGCACACAGGAGGGCCTACAAATACCACAGGGAAGAACACGGAAAAGTTTGGTTACAATTTTGAACAAAAGCATGGGCATAGTTGTGTTAATATCATTGACATAATCATCACCACAATCATCACCATCTACTATTGAAATAATAGTAGATGAATGCTTTTCAAAATCATGATGGTAATGTTATGTTGTATTAACACCCGTATTAACAGATCACAGATTATTTAAGTGACTGCTTCAGTTTTGGTCCCAGCGCTTAAAGACTTTTTATGGAGCTACAGTGAAATGATAAACCTCTTGTGTGCATGCCCCAGAACAGCTCCTATTAAAGGCCTCATTGTTGACTGTTTGTTCCAGGTCATTTTGTTTCACTACACTTGAAAGGGACGGTAAAAAACCCTGCAAGAAGAGGGAGAGGCGGCTTTCGTCTGGGCCTGAATGCAGCCCCTTCACTTAGCATGGATGGCTCTGTGTTTCTAGGTCAATGTGTGTCCCTGAAATGAACACCTCACTTTCCAAAGGGAGGGAGGGATCCAAACAGAGCTGGAAGTTTGACATCTCATTTTATTTGATAAGGGCTTTCAGGATGTGATGCCTGAAATGAAACACAGCTGACTGTGTGGTTTCAAAAAGAAATACTTAAATTACCTTGATGATAT